TTCAACCGACACACACCCCATGATGCCTTATTTCTTCCCCTTTACTACACTTCATAAGTGAATATTCAAGATCACTTTTTTTAGCACCAAGAAGCATGCATCCATGACTACAATATTCAATGAACTTCCTTGAGGGTTCTTGGAGATTTAGTGTGAACTTTTTTTTAATTAACACAATGATGAGAAACCCTAGTGGTTCTCGTCGAAATCCGGTCTTTGCTCGACCTCCTCAGCGTGACCAAGGAGATGCCTTGTAGTCATGGCATCTTCTACGTGCAAGCAAAGCAAACCACTTGGGGGTGTGGGGTTATATCATAATTGGAAGCTTTTTGGTTTTGGTTTTGTTTGAACATGGAAGTTTCAAGGGAGGTGCTGCAATTCACAAGTTACAAACAAAAATGAAGTGTTGAGCATTTCATGATTAACTACTAAGATACCGTTATTTTTAATGTTTGTTGGTATTTAGTGGTGGCCCCTTCACTTCCCTTTAAAACTCATTTAAAACTCTTATTGCACAGTCATAGTCAATGTAGACAGTGTGAAAGTTATTTAGTAGGGACATAAATTAAAAAAAACTCATGTGAAAGACGACTTTTCTTTCATCTGAAAAAGTTTGAAATGCTAGTAATTATTGATGCCTTGATTACCCTACCCTTTAGCTTTAGGTTAGCCTCCCAAGTCCCAACTGCTACTATTGTTTGCTAATACTATTATATTTTGCCCATTTATTGTATCCACTTGACTTAATTAAGTACCGCGAGCAAGTGCAGAAAGAAGTATACCCTCCAACGCATGGATGGAAGGGAGAGCGGGCGGGACGGTCGTCCTCCTGAAAATTTTAAATTATCATGTATTGTAGATATTTTCCTTGTATTTTTTTATTAATAACCTGTTTTTTCTCCCTATAATTTTATAAGTTCGCCTCCCCTTAAAGTTTAATAAGTTCGCTCTCTTGGTGTAAAATACTACGTCCGTGCCTGTTGAAACGCAACAGACAACACTAAGTAAAAAGGAGATTCATCCTGTCACTAGAAAAGAAATGTCGTTAAAAGGAACATATATAAAATTATCCTGTTTAAACTTTATGCCTCCCTTTCTAATTTTGGGCCATCTTGACTTCAAGTTATAGTAGTGCATGTCCTTTTTGGAGTGTGCTTTGCTGTTGAGCACTTGTTACTTGGAAATTTCTCTTTTTGGATTTAGTGCTATCTCTCTAAAGCTTGGGAAACTTCGTGCCAATTGGCAAGGACGCTGTTATTATTGCCGTTTGCTCTCACATGATTGATTTGAGAAACACACATTGTTAAAAAAACCCTCAAATTGCTAAACAAAAAAAAATGGGATTTTCAAAAGGATGCCATGTAGGTTTCCATGTCTTGTTTGTCTTTTGGGAGCATCTATGACCTGTACGACCAGTCCCTTTATTTACCATGCATGAGTCGTTAGAGAATAGATGGGTGGTTGAAGTTATGCACACAGATAAACTAATTATTTATGCAGTGTTTATTGAATAAATGAGTCATCTTATCCAAAAATCTCACATATGCTAAAATTGGGCCCTTGAACTGCCATGTGCATGTGCATGTGCTAACATCTGACATTTTTATAATGAAGACAAATTTGACAGATTCATTTATTCCAAAACGAAAAGGTTCATATGTGCCCGGATAGACCAGGTTTCCAGATCTTGTCTAGTTAAATATGAACAGAAATTGCTTTTAACCAATCTGTTACCTGATCCACTGTTCGGTAACTGAGAATGCAGAAATTACAAGTGTGTGAAATAAACTTACGTCACTAGTTCTTGCAAGGATCATTAGTGTAGAAAGTGTCCTTTTAACTGTTACTGGCGATTGAATGTTCCAGTTAATGTAATTGTATGATTTAAATGGACTGATAAGTTAGTTTCTACCATGATATTTTTTATATGTTTACTCGATTTTCCCATTTTCATCCCTTGAAACAAAGAAAATTACCCGAGTCCTTTTGCGAGCAGTGCTACAGTTTTCGTTACATAAAATGGTTACATTTAATTACAACTAGAATGCCAAACAAATCCGTCATGAGATTATATTTCTGCACTTGGTGTTTTTGTAGTTAGCATACATACATTTTTAATTTTGACCTCCCTTAAGCTGATGACCACATGTAAACCATTTTGCAAAGGTTTCTAGCTGTTTATGCTTCTATTTGTTGTCGTATGTTCACACTTGATTTCAGTAAATTTATATTAAATTCAGAATTTTCAGGGATAATGACGTATAATGGTCTCGAGAGCTGCATTCTCAACAATCAGTCTTATGAGAATGAAAGTAAAACAAGCCAAGGAGACGGATGTGCATCTGATTCCTTGGACGATGATTTCTCCAGCTGTTCTTCTAGCAAAGATGCATTTGGATCATTTTCTTCCAAGTGGATGAAGAGAGATGAACAGGGCTCGGATGAATTGGAGCTCTCAAAAAGCCCCAAGCATTTTTATGTCAAAGAGAAACCTGCTTATCCCCTTCAATTTTCAGATGTTGAGACAATGAAAGAAAATTTTGCAAAACTTCTGTTGGGGGAAGATATTACAGGTGGACGGAAGGGTGTCTCCACAGCTTTAGCTTTGTCGAATGCCATAACAAATCTTGCTAGTGAGTTTGTTTCTAGATCCTTGTGTGTGTGTAAGAAACTTTTATCCTGGACCGGAACTTGGTAAAACATGTTTAAACAAGAAAAGTCATAGCACGTCATGTTGTATTTTATTTATTTTGTCTCCCAACAACGGGAAACATGCATCGTGAGGTGGAGCTGCAACTTAACCATAAAAAAAGCATGGACATTTTACAAAGTTCATTGTGTTTTCATGTAATCATAGGATTGTCTTCTTTCATTAGTCTTCAACTTATAAGGTATGCAAATTTGAATGTGCAGCTTCAGTTTTTGGGGAGTTGTGGAAACTGGAGCCGCTAGCTGAAGAAAGGAAAAATAAATGGCGAAGAGAAATGGACTGGTTACTCTCTCCTACCAATTATATGGTGGAGTTAGTGCCTGCTAAGCAAAATGGTGCAAATGGCAGGACTGTGGAGGTACTCTTGTGGTTGTTTTGAGTTATGATTAAAATGACAATATGCATTCCGCAATGTTTTTCGATTTATGTAAATTTTCTTTTGAGCAGATAATGACACCAAAAGCCCGTGCAGACATTCAGGTGAATCTCCCAGCACTTCAGAAGTTGGACTCTATGCTTATTGTAGGCGCTCTCTTTACTCGTCCTAATAGTTTGTATATTCTTTTATGAATATGTCACCCTCATTTACCTGATCAAATCTTGAATATCGTCAGGAAACCCTGGAGTCGATGGTGAATACTGAGTTTTGTTATGCAGAAGTTGAAAGCAAAGCAGAAGGAAGAAACAAGAGGGCAGGGGAGAGCAAGAGGTGGTGGCTTCCATTGCCACAAGTACCAAAAACTGGGCTCTCGGATACCGAAAGGAAGAAGTTGCAATGTAAAGGCAAGGTGGTTTATCAAGTATTCAAGGCTGCGACATCAATTAATGAAAATGTTTTGCTTGAAATGCCTATTCCATCCATTATTAGGGATGCTCTTCCCAAGGTGAGCATACTCGCTGCATTAAGGGCATTCTTAACTTTAAATGTTGGATCCTTTAATAGTTTTCTTATGATATATCATAACTTGAAGCCCTGATTACATGATCAAGATCAATTTTGAACATGTTTTGAAAGGAAATATATAAAAAAAAATTTGGAATTTTGAGGTTTTAGTTGGAACCAGCTGACTTTGGTATACTATAAAATCTGATCAAATATCCGATAATTTTGGATGAAGAGAGCTCCATATTGAAGTTTTACAAGATTTTTGTATTGCATTTATGACAACTCAATCTCATTCCACATGTTTACAGTCTGGGAAGGAAAGCCTCGGTGATGAACTGTACAAGGTTTTGACTCTCGAGTCCAGCTCAGTCGAGGAAATGTTTGTTTCGCTCAATTTAAAGTCCGAAAATAATGCTCTCGAGGCCATTAATAGGCTGGAAGCTGCTGTATTTGCATGGAAAGGAAGACTTACAGAACAAGCTAGCGGCAAATTCCCAGTGCGGAAGTCGTGGTCTTTCATTAAGGATCCATTGTCTGAAATAGATAAGATGGAGCAACTAGTGGAACGAGCTGAAGCACTTTTACATCACATAAAGAGTGCATATCCAAACCTTCCTCGAACTTTTCTTGATGCCACAAAAATTCAGTATGGCAAGGTAAGTTTCGTGTGTCTAACGTACATGTGATGGCATCTTTTGACATGCATATTCATCTTTCACTACTGAATCCATGCTGAAATCATCGGTGCACAGGATGTTGGACATTTGATTATGGAAGCGTATTCTCGTGTCTTGAAAAACTTGGCATTCAGCATGATGAGCAGGGTGGGAGAAATTCTGCAAGAAGATAGTTTGTGTAGCCCCGATTCTAGTGTTGCAACATGGTGCTTTCCAAGAATAAAAGTGGGGAATCCAATGCACTCCATTATTGATGCAAAGAAGAGAGTTGAAGGGAACTATTCCGAATTCTATACAGATAGGGAGTCGAACAGTGATGCAAGTGTACATGCAACACCAAGTACGAGTCGTCGACTCTGCTGTATTGGTAAAGATGCATGTAGCAGTGTAGGAATGTCTCCCTGATACGTTAAAAGGACTATTATGATTATAACACTGCTTTTGTAAATGATTATTAAGCTGTATTAATTAATCAATAAATTAGTTAATTATAGCCTTTGAGATATTTACTTTTTTCTTCGGAAGGTTAATACCATGGTTTCAAAAGATTAAAACAGAGGTACAAAAGCAGAGAATCATTCTAATCTTGTTTACAGTTAATTAAATGCCAAATCATGGATCAAATAGCAGCAGCTGGTTGGATGCCCCCCAATACCATACATATAGAACACAAAACCAGGCTCTGAATAATGAATGTAGCAAGGTTTCAGATAACAATGAGCCCAGCGGGAAAAAAATACTTGGTAAAATGGTAACACCAATGGTTAATATTTTGGACATACAGAACAGAGGTAACTTCCTGCAAACTAGAATTTCATTATTCACAACCACATTACATCCCAATCCATTTCCATCCTTTTAATTTCATGCAACTCCGAGCCTCTGTCGTACTCATTTACTGGTTATATGATCATATGTTGCAGATAGACGGTCTGTAGTCTGAAATAATGATCTCTACAACTTGCCTGCTATGATTACTCAATTGCTGTTACATTCTTGACAATTATGTATTTTCTCATTACCACAAGAAAACAATGCCATTATAATAAATAAAGCGCCAGATACAGCATAGAAGTTGCACATCCTTTTAGCAAGGTAACTTAGAATTACTCTTTTGATATGGAGGCCAAGGTTAAAGGTTCCTTCGATTCAATGACCAAACAAGTTGGTCAACAGATACCATGGCACGAGATGCTAAGCCAACTGACCCGTCGTACCTGACAAAAAACGAATGGCAAAACAAGTGAAATTTCAGTTCAGTCATGTTAAGAAACTATATCTATGCATGCATGTATATGTACTCGAGTGCTCTCACATCATGCAAAGCAAATCACAATTTTGTTAATGTTGTTCATAACATGTGAAGATGAATAAACTTACAGCGCAACCAAGAGAAACCCTGATGTCTGCATGACAATTGCACCTTCACCAGAGGATTTTGATGCATTGAGGCACCTCGCACAGAACCAATTTTCATGGATTGATGTAGCCAGGTCTGTCATTCATTTATCCGCTCCAAAATTTTAATATCCATATGTGTATTATTGAAACCAGACATTATCTAAATAAAACTGGACACGAAATTTATTGGTAACATGTCTAAAGATACAAACTAATTTGTCAATAGACATTTCCAACATCGCAAGACAAATCACTGGTTCAGCATGCTAATTCAAAATTTAATTATTGTTAACAGGTAATTTTGTTTTGCTTCCTTTAAATGCTAAATCTTAAATGGGTAATCGACGAATCTTTTTAGAGTTCAGTATCCGGGGACTAGATTCTGCTCATATGGGACAAAAAACAAATTTGAGATGTTAACAAACCTAAAATAAATCAATTACCTATTCAAAGCTTGGCTATTCATGATATATAATAGAAGCAAACAACAACTTTAGAAAGGAGAGATTAAGTTCATATTAAAACTTCTACGAAATTCAAAAAAAATTATAAATTGAAAGGTTAGCTAAAGCAAAATTTACATTGGTTATTCCCGATCACAAAAGTCTCTTTTTGCAGTTGGTTGCGCTTGATGAAACTGATCAATTGACTCAATCCAATTGGGCTGATTTTCATTCCTTCCTGTTCTGCACTGTCAACCAAAGCATCATTTCCAGTTTCCCAAACCAAAAAAAAATCTTGGGCAATGATGAAGATAGTAGCACGAAGCATGTTACTTCCGACATATTAAACCATACGAATGTGCGTTTCTTTGCTTCGCCACTTGAGAATGTTCAGAAAATAAACCAAAAATCTGAGCAAATCTACCAGCCAAATATAAACAATGAAATAACTTCAAAATGCAATTCAGCTTGACGGTAACCGAGAAGTAATGCCAAACAACTTTTGACACAAGGATAGTATCTTTATTTGGTGTCTAAATAATTAATATGACGAGCTATGAACAAAACATAAAGCAACAATGGAAACCACCATCATGTTTTGAATACAAAGATTGGGAAAAAAAAAGGAATTAACACAGTTACTGAGTTATGACTCAGGCATGGAGGATGAGAAGACAACCAGAGAATCCTAAAATTAAATTAAAGCAACAGAATAAACATGAGCAGCCAAAGATGAATCCAGAAATTCAGATTAAAGAGTTGAAATGTATCTTACATAGTAGACAACAGCCGAGATGGTCTGAGTGGGTCATAGTTAATCAGCAAAGCAGCCTTCAATGGCTGACCTGCAATTTTGGTTCAACCAAGATTTGTATTTACATATCACAAATTACAATGCAATGAAATCCCCAGAATAATATTAAATGGTAAAAAGTTGAGATAGGTTACCACTCACCAGAAGAGCCAATATTGGTGGAAGCCCATTTCTCCCAAGATTTTTGCACAAATGCCCAATCCATTGCACACTCAACCTAACCAGCAATACAACAACAGTTTAAGCTATTGGTTTCAAAAGGATTACGCCATGATTTGGAGAAGATAACACAGCTCAAATAATTCAACCGATGCTTCACCCCTAAAAGCATACTTCTTTCTTACTTTTTTTTGGATAATAATTATTTCAAGAGCTGATAAAACAATTCCCAGAAAAGGAAATCAGAAATGAAGAAGAAAGATATGAAACTGGGAATAACAGAAAGGAAAAGAAAGAGTGCTTACGTTTGATAATGATATAAAATTGAAGGACTTGTTTTCTTCGTTGATTCCTAACAAGAAACTGAAAGAGTCACTCTCTAACTCTCAGCTTCACCTGATTCTTCAGAGTTGGGTTTTCGCATCGCCTTTTGCTACCATTCGTCTTCACGAAACATTGAGTACTTCTTTAGACGATTTTTGAAAGAACATTTTCGTAGGTAACCCGTCCGGCCCGATAAGCCCACTCGTATTTGGATTTCTTTACAGATTAGGTAAAATCATCCTAACGATTATAATTTTATGAGTAAATTATATATTTAGTACCTAAACTATTAGTTTTAGTCCGTTTTAGTACCTAAACTTTTAATTTTTTTCAAAATCATACCTAATGTTTAATTTTTGTTTTATTTTAGTATCCCGTCATTAAAAACATAATGTGTTTAGTACCTAAACTATAAGTTTTGGTTCGTTTTAGTACTTAAACTTTCAAATTTTTTAAAACTTAACGTTAAATTTTGAACGATATACTAAAATGAAACAAAAACTAAATTTTAGGTATGATATTTAGTTTTGAAAAAATTGAAGGTTTAGGTATAAAAATGGATCAAAACTGATTGTTTAAGTACTAAACACACAATTTATCCTAATTTTATCTGGTAACTCGTTTATATTATTAAACTTCTAATTTTATCAATTATACTATTAGATTTTAATTTCAACTTCAATTATATCATTTATCCGTTAAATCACTAATGACTTCGTAATATAACTAATAAGTATTGGTGTAGCTACCAATTAAAACGATATCGTTTTGATACCCAAAAGACTCATAACAATATCGTTTTACTTTAAAAAAACAAAATAATGTTTTACTCAAGGAAATTCAAACTCCAAGCCTTTAAAAACAAATATTAGAGGTTAACTAATAACCATTTTTTACATAAAAAGTGTAAGTTAAGGGTGACTCCCCAGTCCAGGGTCAGACCATACCTAATACGTAATAGCTAATTAGGATTTATATAAGAATTTACATATTGCCACCAAAAGTGGCGATGGTAGAGATCGAATTTCACCTTACAAGTTCAAATTCATGAATCTCAACCACTTGTGTCAAATTGACAATATTTTTAACCATTTTGTCAATTAATAGATCTCATTAAATTGTTTTTTAAACAAATCTAAATTTCATTATATTTATTGACATTTTTAGTTTCCTAAATATTAACTTTATCATGTCATTTGTCCATAATATAACAAAGTCATTCTAGAACTTTCCCTTTAAGATTATATAAAAAAAGGAGAAGTTACAATGATTGAGGGAGTTTGTACATCGGCGACATCGTATGCATTTTTTTTGTCTTTGAGATTTTAAAATTTTATTTTGATTAATTTTAATCGATTCAATTTATATATTTAATTTTAATAAATAAATTTTTCGATAACTTTTTATACATACAAAAACTTAATCTAAAAATTTTAATTAAATAATATTAAATTATTTATCACTTAAATAAGTGAAGTTAATACATCATATGCATTTCGGCCAACGTGATGGTTGGGAAACAAACAAACAAGTTCACAGAATAATATAAAACTTTCTCAAATGGTTTGATAAAAAGTTCTTATATGTCACCGTCACGGTTTAAAGCTAGATTTGACACATGTTATTGACACTGTAATGACTCATTTCTCATTAAATATATTAACCTTTTTTAAAGGGTAAATCACGTATTTAATACATAGATTATCAGTTTTAATTCACTTTAATATTTTAAACTTTAACTTTTTTTAAAATCATATCTAAAGTTTAACTTTTATTTCATTTTGATACTCATTCAAAATTTAACATTAAGTTTTGAAAAGATTAGAAGTTTAGGTACTAAAACGGACAAAAAATGATAGTTTGTGTACTAAACGCATTAATTTTTTTAACGATAGGTATTAAAATAAAATAAAAACTAAATGTTATGTATGATTTTAATATTTAAACTATCAATTTTGATTTGTTTTAGTACCAAAACTTTTAATTTTTTCAAAACCATACCTAAAATTTACTTTTTGTTTCATTTTAGTACAATGCCGTCAAAAATTAAGGTACTAAAATGAAACAAAAAGTTAACATTGGGGTACCAAAATGAAATAAAAAGTAAACATCGGGTACTAAAATGAAACTAAAAGTAAACGTTATGTATGATTTTGAAAAAATTAAAAGTTTAGGTACTAAAAAAAATAAAAGTGATACTTTAGGTACTAAACATGTATTTTACCCAAATTTAAAATACACTTTGATCACATTTTTACAATGATCATCCATCTCCTGCATAACAACGTGATATTCCCTCTGCCCCGTGATTTGTGAATGATGTTCGCCCAGCAGCACATGGATTCCAGCCTCGTCCGTTGGTAAGAATCGATGAAATCCACGTTTTTCTTTTCTTAAATTTTAACTTCTTATAAAATTTATATATTTTAATTTTATTTTTTAAAAATTTTATAGATATAATTTTTAATATAAAATATTGTATCCACAAAATTTCACCTCTTATTAAATAAGCCCCGTGGGATGACCGGCCGTCTTTCAGTAGCACCCAAATTGGACTGCCGCTATGCGCCACTGTATTGTTTCGATTGCATCACGGCGTTTTGGTTAGCCGCTTTTTCTTTCTCCATTTCTATTTTTGCCCTTTTAGTATTTAACGTTTTACTTTGATTATTTCAGACCGATCGAGATCGTAAAATTAATTTTAATAGATAAGTCTTCTACTTAAATTTTTTTGTATATACAAAAAATTAAACTCAATTTTTATTTAAACGATATCAAACTATTTACTACTTAAATAAACTCTGTTTATAATTGGCCGCTATTTCGTTCAGCCAGGTGTTCAAATAATTTGTGCTGTTGAATGGATTATAATAATGCCCGTCAGTCTTCAAATAATTTAAAAAACTCTATTAAAGTATTAAACGGAAATATTAATATAATATGCTTAATGCTTTGTTTTCTTTTGGGATGATCATGATTCGGTTCAGTGTCAATTAGGCTTTTAAATCTAAACACAGAATCAATAATTGTCAAGTCACAATATCTTACGTAATTTTGGTCTGTTTTAGTATTTAAACTTTTATTTTTTAAAATCATATATAAAGTTTAGTTTTTGTTTTATTATTCAAAATTTAACATTAAGTTTTGAAAATAATTAAAAGTTTAAGTATTAAACCAAACAAAAATAATAGTTTAGGCACTACACGTGTTAAGTTTTTTTAACGGCAAGATATAAAATAAAATAAAAACTAAATATTAGGCATGATTTTTTTTAAGAAAAAAAGACAAAAGCTTATAGTTTAGGTATTAAATACGTAGTTTATCAAAAACATATGCTTAAGGGTCACATTAATTTAACTCTTAAATTGTTCAATTACTTCATCTTATATCTAAACTTTAACTTAAAACCTTAAATCCAAAAAATTAACCCTTGAGCCCACTCTAATCCTTAAACCCTAACTTAAAAATCCTAAACAATAATAAATATTTTAAATATTAATGTAATTGAACAAGGGTAAATAAATACGAAAATATTGATAAAAATGATAAATTAAATATATTATAAGGACAAAAACATCCTTAAGCCACAAGAAAAAATATACAATGGGAAGGGAAGGGAGGGACAACCTACCAAAATTTCAGCTGCGGCCCACACAATAACATCAGGGTGAAAAAGAGTTTATTTTCTTTGCCAGCCTTTAAATAAATGATCGGTCGCTGCCTTAAACGAACACCAAAATTCTTCAATCCCAAGGAAAATTGTGGTCCTTGATAAACCATAAATTCAGGAGTTGTTTAATATGGCTGGGCAGTCGAGGAAATGGATGATTCTGGTGGCGGTTATTTGGATTCAGGCATTCACGGGGACGAATTTCGATTTCTCCGCGTATTCGTCGGAGATGAAGAAAGTATTGGGCATAACGCAGGTGCAGTTGAATTACCTGGCAGTGGCGTCCGATATGGGCAAGGTTTTCGGCTGGTCTTCTGGGTTGGCTCTCATGTATTTCCCTCTGTGGACGGTGCTCTTCATGGCTGCTTTCATGGGACTCGTTGGTTATGGAATCCAATGGCTCGTCATTTCTAACTTCATCTCGTTGCCTTATATATACTGGTACGCGCGCTCTGACTCTCTGCTCTTATTCTTGCTATTTTCTAGTCCTTTGAATTCAATTCAATCCCAAATGAATATAACTCAACTATGCCGATATAATTTTCGCCGTCGCCTGCAATTCAGAATTCGATCCCTGAGCTTCTATCTTTCTCACACAAATTTCATTTCACATTCATGGCTTTGTTTTGCTGAATCTAACTGTTTTCATGTTCTTTCTAGTTTCTTCCTTCATAAATAACCTCCTAGTAAACAAAATAATGGTGGCAACACTATTAAATTTCACTTTCTACTTTCTGGCTTTCAGGTTTGGCAAAATTAGCCCAATAATCCCGGGGCAATAATTATTTAGATTTACAGGGCAACTCAAAAATTAATCTGCAATCTACATTATTTATTACACTGACTTGGAATTCGTCATGCGTATGATGAGTTCCAATAGAATATATTTTTTTATCAGAACTTGTTACCTCTAATAGATTATAATAAAAAATTATATATTTTTTAAATTCGTTACATCCACATAACGAGTTTGTCCTTCATTGTAATAACTACCGTAGATCTTAAAATAAACTTTGAATTGTCATATTAGACTAAATAAATTATCCGATTGGATTATTGCCTTGTAATAATAGGATAACTTTCGTTAAATTTTAATTTTTAAATTTAATTATTCAATTTTATTATTACTCCATCTTTTTCATCGTTATTAATTATTTTTTAAAATATATGAAAGTATCGCTGAAAGTTTATTTCCCAAATTTTGAACTAAATTTTTATGGATGTCCTTCGATGTTTTAACGAAAGAGGAAACAAGTAACGTTTCTTGATTTTATAGTAATTGGACAATGAAAATTAAAAACTATGAATTTTAAAGATATTTTGATAAAATTTAAACAGATAAAGTAGGGTAGAAAAAAAAAGGTTAGCCTAATTGAAGAAGACATCAATGAATGGTAATGTCGATGGTATAAGATAGAAATGAAACTTTTAAAAAGTTAGGTAGAGTATATAAATGG